GCTTATCTTGGTTATTCCGGTCATTATGGGACTTACTATAGTGTCATTCATCTTCCTTTGACATGGAAGCTGAAGTGCAGTTTCACAAAGCTTATACTTGCTGACATTTGAAAGCATGATGTCCCCAGTGCAAGGAACACAGAATAGAATGGTCCTTCTATGTAGATGGATAAATACAGAACTTACATTAAAATGGGGTCATGATTTGAGCAATGCTCTGAACACTGAACTGCTCCTCTTGTCTTAAAACAGTAAATGAATAAAGTTGTTCATGATGCTCATCTGGCATCTTCCCATATCTAACAGGAGATAAGTACATTTTTATTACCCTTTCATTTCAAATATAGAGAGGTCCTACGGATTTGTTTGAAAGACATTTGAAAAAAGGTTAATTGCAGTGTATTTGCTCCTAAAGATGTTACCAGTGTAACTGCAGCCCACTCACATTCTGCTTACCGGTGTCCTGGACTCTTGGGGGTGGCCTGGCAAAGCTTTGCCTGTGGAGGGCTTGTCTGAGCGCCAAGCCCAGCTCAGCCATCCCTGTACAAGGGTGCAATGCCCCTGAGGGCCAGCAGTAGCTGCACCTGTGATATTAGACAAAAAATCCCCTGGGGCTGGGGTTTTTTTAGTTCACTTGCAGCTAAGTGCTAGAAACCCAGTTTGTGCAGCATCAGGTTTTGCCTCTGAGAAAAACAGGGGGGGTAATGCCATTGCTGGTGCACTTGAGCTGTAGGGGTGTGAGATTTTTTTATGCTAAAATAAAGCATTTCAGAGAGGGTCCCCAGATAGACCTGCCAGGTCAAGGAGATGGTGTCAGCGTTTGTCTCAGGTTTTGTACCACCCAGTAACATGCATTTTGCATTCCCAGGTCCGTGTTGCAGGTGGGATAGGTACCTCACCCTGTGCCCATCTCTTGCCTGGCTGCTTGGGCTGTCTGCACACTCCAGCCAGAGCTGCAAAGAGCAAGATGCCTGTTCTGCAGAAGGAGCAGTCGCAAGCTCCTGCCTTCACGGCCCCCTGTGGTGCCATACTGCAGGGGAAAGCAGCCCCATGGTGTGTATTTGCTGCTTCCAACTTGCTCTGCTCCCTCCAGCCCATGCCCCCCTTGCTGTGGGTGTTAGCTGAGCAGGAACCACACATTAGCAAGTCTGTGTCACTTCTGCTCTTTGAATGAAATCTGGAAAGAGCCACACCTGAGCTACAGCAGCACTTGTTTTATTGAACCTCCAGCAGAAAGGTCCTGCTCCCATCTTGCAGAGGGCAGCTTGCATCAGTCCTTCCCTGGCTGTGCTGGAGCTGAGAGAGGCAGCCCCAGCCCCATCCTCCTTCCAGCTGCACCCCTTCTCTCCTTGCAGCTGGTTACTGCTGTGGAAAGAAGCATATTCACTGGTTTCTCTCTCTCCTTCCCCTTTACAAATGCTTCCCTCATCCCACCTTGCTGCTTTCTTCCTTTAGAAAGCACAGCTCCAGCTCTTTACATCAATGTTCCATTTACAAGGTCCTGACTAACTGCTGTATCAACATGACTAAATATTAGAAATTGAAGATTATCTACTGGGGGGGGGGGGGGGGGGGGGCGGGGGGAAGTGGCTCTCACTCCAGAGAGTCTCAGATGTTCAAAGCAGCCTCCTGCATCCCAGCCTTTGTGGCTGATAGGGCTCAGAGATGGACCCTCCTTGGGCACGGGCACAAGTAGAAGGTCCCCTGCCTGAGCCTCCCACCCTGGAAAGGGTGGACTTAACCTCCCCTTTGGTGTCCCCCTCCAAACCAGCCCCTATGTTGCACGTTCCTAAGATCACCCCCTTGGTGAGTGCTGCCAGCAGCTGTGGTCCAGGAGCAGTGGCCTTCCTTACCCACATAGGCCATCCATTTAAATCCCTCTGCCTTTTCTGCCCAGGCTTCCTTGCACACGTACGCTTCGTACCAACCTTAGTACTGGTTACAGTACTAAGTAACCGGTCCTCCTCCTGTGAATAACACAGCTGTGGCAATCAACTGCTCCATCACAGGACTGACTTTGTGATCTATTCCACTAACTCTTATCAGGACTTTCCAAAAAATCAAAACAAATAGTCATCTTCAGTCATCGCCATCACCACAGGATGGCACAAAGGCAACATGATGAATGTGGCAACAGATCTAATACAGTAATATTGGAATAATCAATAATAATACAAACAAAATAACTCTAAGATACAAAGGCAGTTGCAATGCAGCTGTGGCTTTAGGTGACCATCCTTTAAAAAACATTGAAGACATCAAAACCGCTACACCAGTGACACTCAGGGGTTCTACATCATCACCTGTGCTGCCATTTCCTTAAGAGAACATGACATTTTCTGGCTTGGTTCTTATTTGTCATACTTTTAGCTTCTCACTCTGTTAAGCTGTTCTGGTTCATTAATAACCTCATTACAGTCACCTCATCCCAACCCCAGTGGGGGGCTCCTCCACATTCCCTAATCCTGGGTTTTCCCTGGCTGATGTACAACATGGGTGGACATCACACAGACATGCACATCTTCAAGGGAATACACAGGGACACCTGCTGGGTTGCCTTTGGGAAGAGGAATTCAGAGGAATTAAGCCAATATCAAATACAGGGAGTACCTTCATTTTCATGGCTGGTACTGGGATACTCTCTTTGCTCCAGGTAAGTGGCATTTTCAAGCCACACACACTGCACACCTTGAAATCCCACACTTCTGTAACATGCCATTGTTCCAACATCGTAAGATGCAAGTATTATTCCTGATTCCCCATCATCATTTACTATGATCCTTAGAAATACTTGATTTGTTGGCTTCTATGATTAATGTAACTAACAGGAGCTAGATCTGCCTCCACAGAGAGAAAAGGGATTTCTCTTGACTGGAGACAGATGCACCCTGCAATTACAGTCTTTATTATTAATTTTTTCCCCCTTTTCCCTGCTGTCTGTTCCTGCTCCTCTCCTGTTCCTGACTTGAGCCCTGGCAACTGGCCTACAATGAGAGTGTCTCCTTTCACATATGCACATCACGCTGCCTACAAGCGAGCAAGTAAGCGAGCACGAAGCTAAGCCAAGGAACATACATTATTTAGTGAGGTCCATCTGCCCAAAGGAAGCTGCTCTTACATTTATCTGGTTTATAATCTTCTAATTAATCACGTATCATCAGTCGTTAACAGGTTTTCACTAAGATGGATGTACCCACTTAGCAAATTAATAAAGCCAGATAAAGGGCTCCTGCAGTTGGTGGCTGTAAAGGCTCCCTCCTGTTTTGCTGGGGAATGACGCTCTGTTGGTGCTCATTTTTGGCACATGCAGATGCCTGGCATGGGACAGCCTGTACAGCAGCTACTGGTCCGCTCCCAGATTCCCCATTCCCCTCCAGTACCATTGGAAGTGATGTCCTGCCAAGTCATGCTTCTTTCCCCTTCGTACATGAATGATTTCCAGACTCAAGAGCACCAGCTTGTTCCTCCAGCCCCCAGGCCACTACAACTGCTCCTTCTTAGGGACTACATCCCCAGGAGCCCATCACCTTCCCTGTCGTCCCGTCCCATCCCCAGGGGAGTGTGAAGGGTTGCTACCCTTTGAGGTTTTGCACTACTCACTGAGGTTCTAGTTTGTGGTATTTCTTCGCTAGTTCCACTGTAACAGAGCTATTGGGGGTCATCATCCATTATGTCCATTATGGTCATTACATGAACCTTCCCAACCTACAGACTCGGACGAGCTGCTCCTGACTGCTGGCTGTGCCATGTCGTCCCCAAGTGTATTTTATAGCACAAACATTCAAGTGCCCCTTCCTGCATCTGAACTTCCACTGGCTCTCTGAAGGAAGTTTCTTGAGCAGCTCCTCTCCCCTCGTTTGCACAGGGAGCCCCTAAACCCAACATGGAGGGGCTCTGGAAGGAGGGGGCTGTTGTAGACCCTTTCTAAACAACACAGCTTGCCCTGGGCACACGCGTGCTCTCCCCTCACCTCCATGTACTCACCAGCACCACAGTGCTTGTCCCCACCTCCACCATCGCTGGGTGCAGCACCAGGGACTGGGGTGCCAGTGAGCAAGTCCCCCAAGCTTCTCTGGAGTTGCCTGTGTTGGAGACAAGGAAATGCAGCCTGGAGAGGATGTTTGCTGCCTTTAGAAGTTGTCATCACCACTGCCCTTATCCATACAGGCCACACTCAGACTTGTCACCCATGGCCCCTGTTCCAGTAACTCTTACCAGGATACTCCAGACATCAAAATTGTCATCTTCAGTCATCCACATCGCAATCACCACAGGATGGCACGAAGGCACATGGTGAAGGTGGCAACAGCACTAGCACAGTTGTGAAAATCTTGTAAATACAAACAAAATAACTGTAAGATATAAAGGCAGTTGCAACATAGCTGGGGCTTTAGGTGACCACCCTTTAAAAAACATTAAAGACAGGAAGATCACTACACCAGTGATAAAGATGGTTTCTAACCTCCCCAGGTGCCTCTGCACTCTCTGGGCTATACCAGCAGCACTTGCTCAAAATGGCTTTTTCTCTCACAAACACAGCCCCTACAACCCTGATCCAGCATGGCTGTGTCACTCAAGGGTCCCCAACACCACTGCCACCAGATCCAGCCCTCCAGTGGAGAGGATGGGGAAGGCTCTGGCTTGGTTGGGAAGCTCAGATATCACCCCGCATGCATTAGACTACCTTTAGCCACTAAGCTCTTGCTGTTAACTGAATTCAGTTGTCCTTGCTAGCAGCCAGGAGTTGCTCCTGCCCTCAGATTCTTTCCAGGTCTTGGGGCTGTCCCCTGCTCCCAGTTCACATCCTGGCCTATGAGTACAGGACACCAGGAGGTGGCAGGAAACACACTGCAGGCAGGACCACGCATGACCAAACCTGTCCCAGACCTCCAGAACGGCTGCAGCAACCAGAGTCCGCACCAGCAGAGAGCAAAACATGCTGAGAATCTCCCAAAGCTGTGATGCTTTACAACACACCACATTAGGCAAGAGACAAGCACTGACAAATTTTCAGTTTTATTAAAAAACTCCTAGCAGCAAAACCTGTAACAATTCCAAAAAAAAAAATAATAATAAGACCAAACTCCCAAAAGAAAATGACACAGAGAGAAAGACAGATGGAGGAAGACAGGCTTGGGGTTTTCTGCACCCTTCACTCCAGTTCCTTATAGCGGGCAAACATGACCCTCCTGACGGCGTCGCGGTAGGTCTCATTGGACTGCCTCTTGCTGGGCTTCCCTGGGGCCCCCAGGCCAGGGCCCTTCCTCCGATTTTCTCCCTGCAAAGAGACACACTTTGGGTTAGTGATTTCTCCTCCTCGCTGTCTGCCCATAAAGAAAAAGCTTCCCCTGGGCTGCTTCAGGGCAGCTGACTGCTGCCATGGGGATCCGGGAGAGGAGGAATAGCAAGTGAAGTGTGCTCCTTCAAAAGCTGTTCAGGGGAAACTGTCGGCCCTCTGTGGGCAACAAAACCAGCCAACAAATGCCCAGTGGGAATGGAATCACAGGGACTGGCTGCAGGGAACAACACGAGCATATGGCTGGTGGGAGCGGGCAGCCAAAACAGGCAACAGCCGTGTGTGAGCGAGGATTGAAACAGAGCAAAGGGAAGTGCCAGCAAGAGCTGGGCTCCCAGGGAGCTGTCTGCAGTTAGCCTGCATTTGCAGAAGCTCAGCTGTTTTCTCCTCTAATATGAGTTCCCATGGGCTCTGGTAGCTCGCTTTGAATTTCAACCAGTTTTTAAGGACTGGCTTTTGCAGCCAGCATCTGAATTATTCAGTAAACCTGCCTAGAGTTAGCCCAGGAGAGCAGGCCTAAGGCTGAAAGTTTCTCTCGCTTTAAAGTCCAACTTATTTGAGTACCAGAGATGTCATCAATTAGGCCAAGAGATCAAAGTCCTGTAGTGCTGAAGTGGGCACGTGGCTTTGCCCAGCATGACCTGGAAGTGAAAAGCAAGCACATCTCCAGGGTTCTTTTTGGAGGCCTTCATAGGAATTGCCCAAGAGCTTTGCTGTCAGCTCCCCCATCCAGTCTGGGAAGCCCTGATCAGAGGTCGGACTCCCAGAGCGCATCACTGGAGCTGGCTCTTCAACAAAGCCCGTTTTATGGTCACAGGAAACTCTCCATGAGAACTGAGCAACAGCTGGGGTTGCTGTTTGCACTGAAAAGGGAATCTTGCCTCGTGTGTGTGAGCTCAAGCAAACACACGTCATGAAGCCTCAAATATTTGCCTTTAATGATACACTCGACAGCAAGCCCAGTGTCGCAACATGAGCTCCGCTGCCATCGCCTGCCCCTCGAGGAAGCACCGACACCACAGCACCGAGGCAGTCCGGTGACAGACCTGCCACCACCACCAACAGCATCACAAGTGACAGCAGCCACATGGTGCTGCTCATGTGCCCTGGGCAAGGGGGATAGTCCCTGCCGTACGCCGCTTGTCAGATAAACCATCTGCAGCAAATTAAAGTCCACTGGGAGACCAGCCCGCCCCAGAAGGCAGGATCTACCCAGCCCTGCCTATCCCTGCAGTCCTTCACTGACAGAGACTGCTTCTCATCAGATGATGTATCCTGCTATTACCTTCCGAAGTCCAGAGTCCAGAGCAGCAGCGAGAGCCTCACAAGCACTAGGCAGAGTAGACAAATAGCATCATGTGCCCTGTGGCTTTGGCTCTGCTCACACCTCCTCCTCTTTGGAGGTTCACCTTTTCCCCTAGCTCACGTGGCTGCAGAGCATTGAGCTAACAACCTGCTCCCAAACCCCAACCTGGCTTCAGGCAGGTATTAATCAGATGCTATGACCTTCACTGTAACTTTACTGTTACTCTATTTTCAACACCTCAACACCCATATAAATTCTAACTTTTTTTTGACTGCCAACATACTTGCAGCCCCTCCCAGCCTGCAAAGTTAATCAGTGCACATGTATTATTCCATCTAGCAGGTCTTGCAGCCTGACTTGTTCCAGCTGGGAACTCCCTCCAGCCATCCTGGGGGACATTACTAGCTGCAGGTCATTGTGTTTTGAAAGGAAGGGAAGACTCACCTCCACTGGGGATGTTGTGCCCTGCTGGTTGTGGCCGAAGCCTTTCTTCCACCCTGTGGACTGCAACATTCGGTTCCCTCTGTTGTTACTATCGATCCTTGGGTCATAGTCACTGCAAAAGATGAAGAATCAATTGTCTGGTCTTGCTTCAAACACATGCCAGGGATCTTTAGCTCTGCTAATAGCACCTTCATTGATACTCCAGCTTCTCCTAAGGGACACCCAAATTGCCTGCAAAAAGGACACTGGCCAAGGAAAGCAACACAGTGGATTCTGTGTGCAGGGCTCAAACAACTTTAACTGCAAAATTTCTTGTCCCACCTCAGGGGAAAATACACCAGGGTGCAGGAAATGAGCTCAGGCTCCAAAATATTTATGGTACAAGCAAGCCAGAAGCAGTCTGTGCTTGCATTTCTTCATCGATTTTTAGCACTAGCAAGGAAGTGAAGCGTAATCCATGTTGCTCTGCCAGATCTTTCTTTTCTTTCAGTGCTGAGGTCATGGAGCTCGATGGATGCAGCGTTGATTTGGACACCCCTTCTCCCACCTGGTCATTTCTCACCCAACACCATTAACCTAAACCCATAGTTTTGAAAACTGCTCAGCACAAAAATAGTTTTCTTCAGGAAAGTTCTACATTGTGGCTGCTGCTGATGCCACACACAAACTGCTTTACTTTATCCACAGCTGTTCCAGGAAACAGGGAAGAGAAGATGTGGATTTTCAAACTGCAAGACATGGAGGAAAGGTCTGCTTCTGAGGTGCTGTATCAGAAGAGGACAAGCACACAACCAGTTTTGTCTTCACCACATGCCTAGCAGTTCCTCAGCCCACTGGAACACGCGAGCTTGCAGCAGGCAGGTCTTTTGAGAGCTCCACACAGCATGCACTTTCTTCCTCCACCTACTCTGCATGAGATGGAAACAGCTCCCAGTGTTCCTCTGAGTCAGTGGAACAGATGAAACACAGCTTTGCTCTTTCTTTCAATGGCTAGATGCCAGGACAGGAGGACAGCAAGTGCCTTAAGGACAAGGTGGATAGAAACAGGTTGCATTCTGGTCCCTGCGCCTGGCCAGGCACACTCAAATCCCCCCAGTCTCACTTCTCAAGCACCAGGCACCTTGTCTCTGCCTTCCCATAAACCCTTTTCACCTCTGCATCCCTGGCCTTCTCCAAGATGTTCTGCAGCACAACAGGCTCCCCTTTGGGGAACTCTACCCATGAGAATCACAGCCTGCCTGGCTGTGACTCAGGCAGATCTACCCCACCGGCTGATTCCTGGCCTTGGCACACCAGCAGTACACACGCCATCCTGGCATCAGCAGCCCCAAAGAGATCTAACCAAGAGCAGGCATTACCTCTCTGAGTCCCGGTCGTATCTGAGTCGTTTCCTCTCTGGTGAATCCATCTGCTGGAATTTCTCTCTCCGGTCATTTCCTTTGTCTTTATGTCTCCCCTTCATAACAGAGAGAACAAAGTAAGCCCAGGAGCTACAAAGGATTCAACACTTCAAGGAGACTGCTCTGCAGCCAGGTCTCGACTCATCTCATCCTTAGCTGGCTGGAAATCTGTCCTGGAGACTTACTGAACGTTTCTGGGATCCACAGTCCACTTTTCTATCCTGATGGCATCTGCTGGGCTAACCCAGACCTGTGGTTGCAGCCTTCCAGTTACGGCACCGGGAGCAGCACTGCTACCCTCCAAACAACAGCTCTCCCATTCACGCCCAGGCAGCGGCAGCCCACACACCACACTGATTTTAGATGGACATTTGGGTCCCTCTTAGGTCAGAGCCCAGCACTGGCTTGCAGGACAAAAGAACCACACTCAGAACCTTCTGGGAGGAAGAAGACCTGCTCTGAGAAATCAGAGCACTGTCTACAGGTCCAGCTGCAGTGTGCGCCCATAGTTCAGTCTAAGACTCTTTGGGAGGCATTTGATGCCCAAGCTGCAGATGCACAAGTGGAGGGTCCAACATCCCTCTCGTGAAGAGCCACAAACACAAGTCTGTCCACCACCGCAGACCCACCTCACGCTCTCTCTTCTCCAAATATGCCAGTTCCTGCTCAGATCGTTTGATCTTCATATGTATCTCCAGGTTTTGCTGAAAGAAGGAAAACAGAAGCCAGCATCAGCAGAGGATACAAGCTGTCAGGGTCAACTGCTACACCCATAAGGAGTACAGGTAGGGCAGCATACTCTTGTATCTGCACTACATCAGGCACAGCAGCATCTCCTGCAGCCCAGACTACCTGTTCTCCCCCGGAGACCACGAGCCCTTCCTCTCCACAGTAAGGAAGTTCTATTTTAACCTGAGTGCAGTTTGGCCCTCCTAGAAGCAAGAGCTCAAAGGCAGCACAGAACACAGGGAGGCATGTGCTAAGTTCTTACTGCTATCACACTCCTGTGTGCCAGCACCCTACTCTCTCCAAGGCTCAGTTATCTTGCTACAGCTTAAAAAGTCACACCTTGACATTACAGCACTCCCATGGCAGGAACAAGCAGCTCACACAATGCTTTGAACAGAGCTTTGATGGGAAGTTTGCCTGCTACTGTGTCAAATTCAGCACAGCTCTTCCCACCCAACCATTGCATTTTTCTCTGCAAATAGCAACGCTGCTGAGCCAAAGGCAGCTTCCAGCACACACACAGCCCCACAGTCACCAGCTCCCCCACACCTTGTGCAGGTTGGAAAGCTGCTGGTGCTTGATAAGCACTTCCTTGTTGGGAAACTGCCTCCTGCAGAGCAAGCAGGCCAGCTTGTTCCAGTCGGTCAGCTTGTCATCGCTGGCCTTGGCCTTCCTCAGCTGCTCCTCGCGTTGTGCTGGTGGGTGGGGAGGTGGCAGCCACTGAGCCTGTGACTGGTCCTCCTCTTCCTCCTCCTCTTCATTGTCGCTGTCTCCTCCATACTCTCCCAGAAGTCCTATCAGAGGGTTCACCACCTTGGGCTGAGGGAAGTGGCAGAAAAGCATTTTTAGCATTAGCAATTTTTAGCATCATGTCTGCCCTGCCATGTGGGGCTCTGCTTCCCCAGCCAATCTCCCCATGACTTCTGTCTTTGTTCCAGCCCAGGAGCTAGGGAGCAGCATCCCAGCAACACAGGTAGGGAATGGAAAGAAGCTGACTGGGCAGCATTTAAACACCACAGGGTGGAAGCCCTTCTGCTCTCCAGACAGGCTGTGCTTTGGTGCCAGGCTTTCCCAATCTGCTACACACCTAAGCACAAGAATACGACCAAAGCTGCAGCTATTTGGCAAAGAGTTGCTGTCAGTCACTTCCTCTAGCAATGGAAAGCAGTAAGGAGGCAGCTGGAAATTTTCTGCCTGAGAACTGCTTGAGCAAGAAGACCCCGCTTAAATGCAGCTATTAAATTTCCCCACGGTAGAAGTCCACAAGCAAACCCAGTGTTACAAACCAAACTGCCTTCACCATTCCATCTCCAATGCTACTTCCTTTGTCATGAGCAGCTGGCACCTCTGTCACTCAAGGTCACGGCCAGGCTTTGGTGAGCCTCTCTAGTCCTGCACCCAAGTACAAACAAGGCAAAGCCCAATCTTATGGAGCCACTTACTGGGGCTGCGCTCTCATCCTTTTTCACAGAGGGAGGTAATGGTTTTTTAAAGACATCTTCTGCAGAGAACTTCTCCTCTCCAGCCTCATTCTGAAACAGTCAAGATCAGGTGTTAAGACCGCCATAGCATGGATTCAGCGCACACAACAGCTAAGCACCCACTTAAACAGGCCTCGAAGGAAACCAGGCAGTTGCCAGAAATGAGGTGGTGGTTTTGGTGGGAGACATTCTCATTCTGGGGAAGCCACAGCTCTCCTGGAGCTATGCCTTTGGTTTCAGGGACAGCTGCAGCTCACCATGCCATCCTAGTCTGCTCCACTCTCACTCTCTGCTGGACTGTGATGCTGACAGCAGCACCAGCCATGCCTCAGACCAGTGAGGATGCTGAGGCAGGGCCAGGTCACATTTGTACACCTCTGTGTGTGCACAAAGGACATGGAGACCAGGAGCAGAGAAACCAATCACCCCAGGAAGAGCTGCAGTTCTGCTTGCCTGTGAGAGGCAAGACAAAGCACAAGTACTACAGGTGGGAAGGGGAAAAGATGACAACACCAGTTTTCCCTGCTGTGTTTGTGGCGCAGCATATGTCCAGGCTCAATCAGGGTGGTGGTGTTTCCAGGATCTTCTTTATACCAGTCAAAGAACACCCTTCATACTGGCCAAAGAAGACCAGAGACTGCAGTCACACAACAATGCAACAGGAGGAGCCTGTGATGCTCACTTGTATGCTCAGCAGCTCAAAGAGTAGCCTGGAGTGAAGCTTCACATTTACATGCTTTACAGAGAACTGGTCTGGATCCCTGGCCATGCTCTAGTTTAGCAGTTCATTAGCTACTCATACATGACTAGGGACTATGCGTGCTTGACTAATGCTATGCAACATCTTACCAGGCCTGTACTCTCATCCTTTTTCACAGAGGGAGGCAATGGCTTTTTGAAGACATCTTCTGCAAAGAACCTCTCTTCTCCAGGCTCGTTCTGAAAAACCCAAGATTGGATATTAGGCCAACAGCAGCACAGGAGTCAGAGAATGCACAGAGCAGCCATGAAGTGCATTCTGAGCATCCACAGAAAATAGGCAGCCATGAAAAATGATGAAAGGATTTCTACTGGAGATGCTTTCACCCTCCAGTCATACAAGACCATGTTTGTCCTACGTCTGTACCCTTGAAAGCGGGTATCCTCCATACCAGATGAGACCTCTTGGCTGGCTTGGTATCAACCTCAGGGACAACCTTGGGTCCCAACTGCCCAGGACTGGTCATGCCACAGAATATATATAGACCAACAGGCAAGGAGGAAAACAAAGTTTGTGCATCCATGGCTAAACCAATTCTACAAATTCTTCTAGCGAACCTCAGGCCCATTCAGTATTACAGCAATGGGCTGTGGTCCAACACCCATGCTCAAACATCACCTTGGGCAGCTACTCCTAGCCAGCAATTCCCTGTGCTAGGGAGGCAGCATTTGCTCACTGGAAGCAGCACTGAAGGGCACTTGCCCCAGGACTGGGCCTCTGAGAGGGACTGTACAGGATACAACTGCATTGTACTTTAGCAATGCACAGCCTGGCTCATCTTCCTGCCTGTCCATGATGTTTGAACGGGGCAGCGAGGGGAGAGCCGAGTCTCTGTTATTACTTGACTTGGTATGTTTAAATATCTCTGCTATTTTTTGATGGCCCTGTTACAACAGCTGGGTGCTTCCAGTAGCACAAGTAAAACGTGTGTCTCAGTTACCTAAATGTTTCTGAATCCTTTACCATAAGGAAGGAATGAGAAGCCCCCACTTAATGTCACAAGAGAAAAATTTCAGTAACTGAGTCCCACTTAGCCTGACAACAATCACGCTCCTGGCCTGCTGCAGACCCCATGTATTTCATCCCTTCCTCTCACTGTCTCTCTTCTTTGAATCCTCTATAAATTACTCTCTATTTTCTAACCTCTCTTACCTCAGCCTCCTGGCCTCAGACCTCTGATCATTCTGATGCTTGTAGAGGGATTTACCTTAGCAGAAGTGCTTTTCCCTTTCTCCCTTTTGTCCCTGTTGTCCCTGCTGTGTGGCTCCACCCTTTCATTTGTCCGTTCCTGGCGTTCTTGGCTCCCATGCCGCTCTTGGCTCCCATGCCGCCGCCTCCTGCTCTCTGGAGGTGATGAACAAGCTTCTCGGTCTATTGTGACTTCTCTCTGAAAGACGCATTTGGAAAAGACTTATCCAACCCCTGCAATCTTCTTTACTGGGCTTATTGGACTGGGAGACCAGGACAGCAGGAAATGCAGAGCCTCAGACAACTGAGGGCAAAGGCTTCAGAACTTTCCTGGGGGAGGAGACAGGCTACCACAGTCAGGTCATTACAGGTACTACTCTGCTCACCCAGAGCATGGGTAACTCCAGAATCACAAAACCAAGATCATAGTCCCAAAGAACCTCTGCTGAAGGCTCTTTATTGACATCCTTGTAACAATCGCTGGCTGGGGTCAGGGAGCAAATAAACCACAGATGAAACAGAGCTCTGCTGTCCATATTTGAATAGAGAGCTACATATCATAGGTCTTCAGAAAAATCTAGCAAGGATACTCTGCCTGAAAGTCTACTCAGTGAAGAGGAGACCAAAAACCCCCCAAGGCAGGGCTTCAGAGGCCAAAAAGGCAGCTACGGTAACTGGTTCAAGGCACAGCTAAAGGGTTCCTAGCGTCTCATTAAGTGGGTATTTTGAAACATGTATCCCTTTTACACAGGTCAGAGGACTGAGAGAAACAAAGCTGCCTCTATGCTGTCCCATGCTGGCCTGTCTTCGGGATCTAGATTCAAAATCTCTCCAGAGAAGAACAATTTGTAAGGATGCACTGCATGTAACACTTCCTTCCCACACACTCACCTGAGTTCTGGGGTCATAGTATGTCCCAGCTATAGGGTCATAGTAATTCCCAGTTTCAGGATCATATATGTATGTGGACACATCTGATGGAGCTGAACAGAGAGGCAAGAGTTAACACCACAATCTTCCACAGGCAGAACTTGTATTTTACGAAGACAAAGATAAAAGCATGAGCAAATATTACACCAGTGAAAGGATCAAGAGTGGGAAAGAATTTTTCTCTCCTGGCAACAGAGGTATGAGTAGCCTCACTCACTTGACCTACATATTCCTTTCTTTAAGGAGTAAGAAGGGAAACGGGTTTTCACAATTCTTCTGGTTTAGGACTCTGGCAAAATTTCCACATCAAAACATACTCACAGGGGCTGTGCTGAGATCACCAGACCACAACACTTGACTGGACAAAGACATGAAATCCAGTAATTTCCCTAAGAATGGGGTAATGAGTTCCAGGCTCTGTGTCCACCCACCCTTGTGAACAAGGAAGACTTCTGTGCTCTTTCAAACAGTCTCCTGTTTAAGTGATGACACTCCCCATATCCCTTCCACCCCGTGGGTACATGAAAGCCCTGGACAAGAAAGGGGAGCAAACTGTTTCTACATGGAAAGTCAAGGGCCTTAAGGGTAAGCCCATAATGTGAGGACTGTTTCTCATTTCCAAAGTGTTATTAGACAGAGTTCAGCTACAAACAAGTTAGTAAAAGAATGAGGAGTGTTATTCTAGCTACTGGCACTGCCACATAAAATGCATTTTCTTCTGTCTCATCTAGTAATTGCCAGGCTGATTTTATCCCATCAGTTTAGCACAACAAGGAAAAGCATGCAGCAAGTTTTCTTTATCTGCATGTAGTTTTGCACAGTAAGAGAAGAGAGAAACACATCATCAGATAGGAAAATGTGACTAAACAAAGTTGGCAACAAACCTCAGAAGTGGGTGTAGCAAACAAACCTACTCCAAGCCTTTAAAAATATTGTGGGGCTGATTTCTACATGTCAGTGCCCTTTTAAGGAAGAAAAGTGTCCACAGTAGGAGTAAGGCAGAGCTTAACTTACACTGTGCTCTTGTGCGTCTCTGTGATTCGCCACCCCTCCTGTCTCTCATGCCCCTTCTGCCCTGGAGTAAGTAAACAACACAAACAGATCAGAGACTCTTTGACATACTGCTTTACCTCCCTCTCACAGGCCCAAAGCTCAGGAAAACAGCTCATTTAGCTGCCCTAAATAGAGTACAAGCAGACACAGCTTTTCACCTACAGAGGAATGGACAGTGTTGGAAAGCAGGAGACCCCTGTAGCTTCCATGAACCTTAAAATTAGGTGTTCCTGGCAATCTGAATGGAAACCTCCAGCCCTTTCAGTATGGGAAGAGCCCTGTAGTCTAGTAACAAGCACTAAAGAAGAGACATTCACTCCAAGAACTGAGATCAGTCATCAATTAAATCACTTTGCATAAGCATGGTACAGAGTAATCCAGCCCAGAACTCCCTCCAGCAGCACCTGCAGTCTGACTTGCACATCTATGCACACTACAAACACAGTGTTAGGGGCAGAGTAGCAGCGAGGAGCACACCTGAGCATTATCATCCCATCTTCAAACATGTTAAACTTTCAGCAGCCCAAAGGAAAAAGTCTAACAAAGTCAGGGCTATAATTCCCAGTGCTCCCTCCCTTTCCAGCGACCTGCAGGGAAGCTGTGCAGACCTACCGGGCCATAGTAGGAATTGTCACCGTGCTCCCCATAGTCATTCCTGTTGAGATAAAGGTCACAGGTTAATGTTTATCTGGCTTCACATTAGCCTCAGTATACTCAAAATGATCAGCAGGACCAATAAAGACAGAAAGACCGTCTTTGCTGGCCACATGTTGGATTGTGTCCATCACTGTCTCCACAAGAGTTATGACCACACTCTGCTGTGTCTGCAAAGATGACTCTCTCCAACTGCTTTTTAAAAAGCTGAACCCATTAATCCCCTCGCAATGGGATTTGATGGCTGGACAACAACAGGCCATGCAATATGATTATTAATCCCATACTGCTCAATCACTGAAGCTTCTTCTAGCTCCAATGCCTTCACCTCTCCAACATATTTTTACGTTGTAGGAACATCTGTGCTAATTCATGTGCCAACCTTTAAGCATTTGGTCTGACAACACAGCTCTAGGCTTGCAGCACATCACACAAAGGACAACTCTACCACCTCATCTGTCTATACCTTCTCCTCCCTGTAGCAAGATTCACTTCCACCGTACGACCATCAATGCAGATTGGGGGATCCAGATTCTGCAGTATCTTTAGCAACCTCATCGCCTCCTGTAAAAGAAAGGAGAATTTCACATCCATGAGAAGGAAATTATGCTTGTTTCTCAAATCCAGCCTGCCTGAAAGGAAAGCTTTGTGCTTACAGGACGACCATACTAGGGCAGGAAATACAACACTCTTGTCTAAATATTAATGAAAGGTATTTAGGATGAGACAAAAGGGATCAATTCATTGTTAGGTTCTCTGCTTGTCCTATGCGTGTTTTCAGCAGCCAGCTAGGGCTGCCTATTCTCCTAGGGCTACTGGACAATGCAGCACTGTCGTTGCTCTTGCACCCTCTGAGGCAATGCCAGAGAGCACAGCTATGGAGCCTGGGAGTCACCCTAGAACCAGAAAATGTGAATCCTCCACCATGGGACTGTCTGTTAATTAAGATTCTTGCCTTCTGCAGGCAGAAATCATTGAATTCAAGTTCCCTGAAACAAAGTATCTGTGCAAGAGGTGCTGAAGTTAGGAGGGTCTACAAAGAAAGGTCTTCATGCCAGAAATTCACCAAGTATCATGACTTCTGACAACAATCTTTGCCTCCTAAAGCCAGACAAGCAGAAGAGAGGACTCACTCCAGCACAGCTGCCTTGCAAGTACAGCTATTTCTTGCAGTAATGTCTCTACTACAGACTACAGATGCCAACAGAGAGAGCATGTGAAAGCAGGAAACCACTTACAGCATGTGATTCCAGTTCAATGAAGCCATAGGTTTGCCCCATCCGTCCAGCCTTGTTTTTCATGATGCGCACACTGGATGTGGAGAGACGCACGTATGGGGCCAGAAGCCCCACAATCACCTCTGGTGGGGTGAAGCGAGTTATACGCTTCAGCATAATTGCTGTGAAGGCCAACAGGAGACATGGCCAGGAAGGAAAAAGTAGAAAAAGATAATTCAGATCTAAGTTTATTGTGACAGCACAGGTAAAACTAAACCCATTCAAAGCAACAGCGTGGCTACTTGCAGTTGAGTCTGAAGGCCATCGCTGTTTTTCTCTCCACTTTGCAGGATGGTCAGAGCACTGCTTCCAATTGCTAACCTTTCCTTCCCAGAAAACACAGCAGAAAGCAGGCCCCTCCTCAGAGGGGCTCAGCCCACAGTAACTTCTGGCCAGAGAGGCGAGAGGCTTTTGCTGCTGTGTTAACTGTGCCATCCTGAAGCCACCATGCCCTGGCTTAATTTTCTTAAAGGCAATGGGCCGTGGCCTTTTGGGCCGGAGAGCCCATCATTACTTCATTTGGATAACACAGAAACCTCCTCCAGAGATTTTAGTGAAATGCTGTCCTTTCTGCAGCCTCATGGGAGTGCAGGCAAGAGGAACCCAAAAACTGGGCCCTGTGCCACTCACTTCGGCTTCCTCCACCATCCTGTGGTGTGGTTTCCTCTGCTTCTCTCTGAGAAGGCAGCTCCTGGTGCCGGTCCATGTCTCGTCTCTTCTCCTGTGAAGGCCGCCGCTCTCTCCCTTCATCTCTCTTCCTTGGCTCCTGTTCCTGAGGCTGACACTCCTGCTGTGGAGCAGGAACCGGAGGCTGGAGAGGCTGCTTTGGAGATCCTGGTGGTCCTGATAATTCTTGCTCAGGTTTTTCAAGCTTTGTCTCTGCTATTAGAGAGAAGAAATGGACTGGTTCTACACAGTGTTTCAGCATGTGTTTTTCTTCTCCTATTTTCTGACCACTGCATCAACACCCCTCAAAAAAGGCTAACCTGTTCTGCCCTTTGCATATCCTCTCTCTTAACACTCTGCAGGCACAAGGTGTGTAAAGAACAAGCTAGATACTGCTCATCCTTCCACTGCCTTGTTTCATGTTGGGCTCCTTTACCTGACCTCTCCTGTCAGACAGGAGGCTTTTTTGGCTCCTTTTAGGATTGGCTCTTGACTGAGCAAATGTGAATCAGGGACTGGTTTGGATATGTTCCCTCTATGTCGAGAACAATCTATATGGCAGTGATATCCTTACTATTCCTGGTGCATTCTTGAACACCCATAGCTGAACAGTATCAACTAGTAAATGCCATTCTATCTCTATGCTAGAGGAAAACTGGGTTCAGGCCCCTATGGTAACCAAGTGAAATGCATCATAATACACTGATTTTATCAGGCGCCTACTTACCACAGATGAGGAAGACATGTGGAAACACCCTTCTCCCCCCACCTATCTGTGCAATACAAAGAAGACAAATCCCACCAAGCTTCTGTGCTTGAAGGCCTCTGAAGCATCTGCCTTCACTTTAGAAGAGATCCCTACCAAAGCTGTGGGGCTGCAAAGTCAGACATCACCAGCCCTGCACCTGCTGCTGAAGTCTCTTCCCACAAAGAGAAAGAAATTAAGAGCGCAAAACCTGGCACAGTGAAGCTTCACTTTTAAATGTCCCCCAAAGCACCTCCCCACTCTCTTCTGTCTGGGCAGTGGGCAGCATGGCAGAACACACAGAGATTCTGCACATAAATGTTGGGAAAGCTGGACGCTGACTGGCTTGGCTGTAAGCACAGCTTGTGTTGGACAGACCTACATCAATTCATCTGCAGCTTGCAGCGTGCAGAGTTTTGGCTACACTTGATGAGACACATAAAATTTGCATATGAATCCAGTCTGCACATACAGCTGAGAAAACTGCCCATGCAAACCAAGCAGACATGAGCACAACCCCAGAGATGAGCAGAGCAATTCTCTTACTGAATTCTTGCTCAGCTGGTGTGTCCTCTCCCTCAGAAGCACCTCTGGACTCTGGGCCTGCTCTGCTCCCTGTAAGAGAGGCATATTAAAGTCCGTTTCAAGCCCATCAGTCACAAAGCACGCAAGAACTCATGCAAAGCTGAGGCAACGACTGTATATGCCTAGAAAGTTGTTTTGTTTCACCCAGAAATTAAAGGGCAGAGAGATTACCTTATTACCTACATGTTTTCACAATCAACAAAAGCAGGTCAGTAAGAAGCATGCGCCACAATCTGTCTTCACAGCATCTTAAGGCTCTGTTTAATTTGCTCCTCGGCAGTTTTATTACAACCCACAGTTGTGTTGGGCCAGCTTTGTCTTCATAATGCTGATAGAGGAGCTACAGTGCAAGGAAGGCATAACCATGGGGACAGTGCTTCAGTAAATAGAGAGTTCTGCATCAGCAGTTGTTTTAGTGCCCTTCTGTCTGGGGTATGCAGGTGAGAAATGCAAAACATGAGCAGTCTGCTCAAAGACACAGAGCCAAAGCTTACAGAGTGCCTGGAATACCTGCTCATTCCAAGGAAACCAGTTCCTCAAGAGAGTACTCTGGCTCTCATGCCCTCCCAACCCCAAAAAGCAGAGGTGCTAGCAGGGTTAAGGAAAAGCTCCTGGAGGAGCAGAACTCCTTTCCATGAACTTCTTACAGTCAGCAAGGAGAGTTCAGCAATTCAGATCCTGGATTCACCTCTAATCTAAGAGCCTCAAAAGAATAACACCAAAACTATGTAGCTGTATCTCCCAGGGAAGGTGAGTCAAGGGGAAGCCATCAAGGGCCAGCAGTACTAGCTCACAGTGCTGGAGAACACACAACCTGCAACTCCACAGATGAAGGACAATGCTAGAGTAACAGAAAGGAAAGGCTTTGTGCAGCAAGACACCTGTCCACCAAGCCTCACAAGAACAGAGAACACGGTAGCAACAGATCCACAGGTAACATCTTTAGGGTGGACAGGGAAAAGGGTCTAAATGAAGCAAAACTAGTAACACTCTGACACTGCCCAGATAGTCAAACAAGAAGGATACCACAGGGAAGCCAGAGGAGAAACTTACATGGCAGGGCAGATGAAACTTCTAACCAACCAAGCACAGGGACCAGATATACTCACCATCTCTTGGGAGCTTGCAATAGGAGCAGGAAGATCTGTAGCCCACTGTACACACCTTACACTGCAATGGAAGACGGACAGCATGAGGAAGTCATGTTTTGAAGGCAGTGGGTATAATCTACTCCAGAATGCTACATGACACAGTGCTTTCAGAAGGTAACTACAGCCACAGAAAGGTTACAGAAAGAGCCTGAGAGACAGGATGGTAATGGCAGCAGGAGCCTTGGCTGGAATGGAAAGGAAACGCTCATAAGGCTTAAAGCTGGGACTGCCTTGGAAACAGGATTTTCACACAACTTCTGAGCACAGATCATCATGGAGGTACTTCACTAGTCCCTGGTGACTAGTGAAGACATTAAGATGGGACTCTTAGCCTCTCAAGTGATGCTGGACCAAAAAGCTACATGTTAGGCACCATGTTGCCAGCATCATGTTGTTTCAAAGGATTCAAAGTTACATCTAATCTCAACTCACTCCTAAAGCAGTGACAAAGTCCTTATCTGAGCTACACTGTAGATGCTGATGTAACTTACTGCACAGGGAGAGTCAACGAAGATGTATCAGCTAACCAAGGGCTAGGGGGGCACGGGCTCAGATGTTTATGCCACACAGAACCACCATGGAAAGAGCCAAGTGCCCCGTCTTCAGAGCTCTCTCCAGACACAGCACTTCCTGTTCAAGCTCTTTGGAAATGCATTGCTTCTCTTTCAACCATTTTCTTTTTTCTCTAACTGAAGATCTGCATATGCTTTAGGGCACAAGGAAGCTCTTTCAGGCCATACTTACGCACAAAAACAATGGGGACAATATGGCTACTTCTTGTCACACAGAGAGCTGTTGAAGAAACCACTGCCTGAAACTTCTGTCTCTACTTGATCTCTGAAGCACTGCAAGCACAGACAAGCACTGAGCAGTGGCTCTGTTGGCATCTGGAGGGCATCCAGTTAGCCTGGATGAGGGTTTTTGTAGCCCAGTGTGTCCAGTGGTCAAGGTGGGAGCATAACTACAGCTGATCCCTTCCTACCCTGCCACAACCTCTTGTCTGCGGCAGGTGGGAGTGCAGGCAACAACCTGCTCTAGCACTTTAGGTCTTTGCTCTAGCACTCCCCCCCCAGCCTTCTGCAGCCGAAAGTGCCCATTCTGGGAGAACCATGGGAAGGGCATGGAACAAAACAGGCCCTTGGCCAACTGTGCTTCTACTGAAATGGGCCACCTCCAGTCTGTACTAACTGCTGCCTGGACATGGACCTATTTCCATGCTTCCTTCCTTGCTGCGCTTACTACACTTAAATCCAGATCACAGGTTCCTGCATGAGACACGGGTGGTTTGCACTGTTTGTGTTTTTGCTGGTGAAAGCTCTGGTTACCTGGCCAGTGAAGACACTGTGGTAACACATGTGAACCAGAGTGAAAGCCTGTTCACCCTGGTTGGCAGTATCACTGTCTCATTTTGTTTTTTAAGGAGAAGGGACCCACACACTACTTTCCCCACATGTTAAAAGGGAACCACTGCAGAGGGAAGAAACTGCTCGGCATATAAAACACTGACTACCTGTACCAAAGCAACACTCACTCACATAGGTGGTGTCAGAAACAAGGTAAGGAAAACCACAGCATTTAGAAGAGCTTCAGGACACAAATATCACTCTTAAGGATCTTCAGCCACAGAGCAAACATCTCGCACTCCTCCCTGCTTCACTACCCTGAGATCCAGCAGGGGAGGCACAACACAGCTCTCATCACATACTTACACGTTTGCAGCGCCAAAACTCTGGGCATGGGGTGTACTCAAGGGTCACTTCTTTGCCACCGATCGAAAGAGTTCCCTGTTGAGATAAGGGGGTAAATGACGAACATGCCCAGCACACACAGATTACTTGGAGGCAAAGAAAGGGGTTAAAGCTCTGGTTCCTAAAGGTTTTACAAGTGAAACAAGGTGAAAAGGGGAGGAAGTCTCCCAGTTCAGTTAGCTGGAGCTCTGTCATGGAAGGGAAACTCTGCATCCTGCTCTAGCACAGTGTAACAAAGCTGTTAGCTCCAGAGGAACTAGGCAGAAGAGGCTTTGCCACCTCCCAGGAAGAGTAGAGACAGAGTAACCAGAGCATGAGAGGGAAGCTGCTTTAACCTGCTTTTGTCCACATACTGGAAAGGGGCACCTGGACAGCCTCTCTCACACCAGCCACCACCAGGCTGGCCTCAAGTCAGCTGTTTGAGGAGGAATACAAGGAAAAACACTGCTGAGGTGAGAGAATTTTCATACTTGGGTTAGTTTTCATGTCACTCACGAAACCCTTCAGAGAAGTATGCCAGCAGGTAGCAAGTCACTGGCACCACTGCCAGCAGAGCTGCTGCTCTGCAGCCAATCCTTGGTGGGGTGCCCTTGAGCACTGGTGCAGCAGCTGCAGAGGAGCTCCACCGCCTATAAAGCCACATTGTTTTCAGCTCCATGCATGATGCTTTGAAAAGACATCAGGAGCCCAAAAAATCCACAAGCTTTGCTGAAATGTAGATGATTTAAGGATGAAATGAAGTCGTAGGTGCAAGTTCCCCAACTCCTGCCTGGAACAGCCCCTAGAAGCAGTGAGCAGCAAGGATTACTGGTGGCTCTCATCTGCTGTGGACAAGACCATGCCTGGGCATGCAAGATGCAGGCTGGGCTGCAAGTACACGGTGCTGTGAGATATTTCATGTCACTGGAGGTACTGCCAGACCACGCAGTCATTACTTCCCAATACCACAATATGAGACTCAGTGACAATAATGAGACTCAGACCCAGGTCCCTCAAACCTCAGGAGAGCAGTTGCTCTTCTTGCCCACTGCTGAACGGTACAGACAGATATCAGGGAGCTGTAAATGCCCCAAGCTATCCTGGGGAGCTCTGATGAGTGAGAAGCTTCCCAGGTACTCTGACCCAGTAGCCTAGTCGCACAAGAGCCAACAGAGCAAACCATGAACATGAGAAAACAAGCTCCCAGAGTTATCATTCAGAAGTCATGATACACCCATGCATAAACTGCTGTGCAGAACATGAAGGAGATGCTCAGGAATATGTAAAGTAGAGGGAAGAGTTCATGGCAGGGAATCACTAAGCGGCGGTACAGCAATAATCCTTTAAACCCTGAGACAAAAAACCGCAGCAGAGAAAGCTGGAGACCAAAGACACTGGCCTATACAGTGCGGTTGCAGAGTTCTCTTCTCCACAGCCTGCCTTTTATGAACCAACACCATCCTTTCCTACCAGGCCTATACACAAAGGGTTTCCTTCCTACTCTTCAGCAGTTTAAGCAGTGCTTTCTAGCATGGATTTGCCTTTGCCTTACAGAAAGCTGAGCCATTCCTAGACTTTGCTGAGGGCTGGCGTTTGCACCCAGTGCTGCAACCTCAGATGCAAGGAATCTCCTCAGGGTCTATTCACATTGTGGAGCATTGCCTGCTTTTCATGCCCAGGAGAAAGTCTGCACCTTCTTTAAGGCATGTGAGGAAACACAAGTGAGAAGCACAGGGAGGAGGCAATAAAGGCTGTCCCACTGGGACTGTTGGTCCCCCTGAGATGGACATGCTCCCTCTCCGAAGCAGGGCACCCATCATATCACATCACATCACACACTCAGGAGATGGGCAGTTGCCAGAAGAGCACTCTAGAAGCGCCCATGCGTGCCTCAGGACCCACTGAGTGCAGGCAGGGAGAGAAGGCAGGGTGCACATCCCCATGAGCAGAGCTGCAGCACTGAGCCCAGGGAAGCCCTCGGAAACAGCAGCTCCTCAGCAGACACTTCCAGCCCTGCCTATGAGCTCCGGAAATAAGGACAACTTAGATCTGAGGACACATCCTCTGGTAAGGCAAACCATCACACAGCTTCATCCATCTATACAAGTCATTGAGGATAATACTTGCCAGAAAGCTTTAAGATTATTTTTGGGTTTATGGAAAATGTTGTGTGTAGTGCTGGTCTCTACTGCAAATTCAGTTCCTGGAGACTGCAGAAAGTGTCACTTGCATAATTACTCCCTGATTTCCTTAGCACCCTGCTGACTGCCTGCTTACTTTTCCAACAAGCTTTCTCTTACTGATTTCTTCTTGATAAAGTCATTTTCAAGGTTGCAATCATCATTTAACACCACAAAATGAGTCCTTCGTTTATGACACACATTGTCAGGATTCAGTGACTTTAAATTCCTCATTCCCCCATTTTGTTACTATAGAATACTTTCAGAACCTTTATTTCCTCTAGTTCCTGTCACTGCTTGTTCTTTTTATCTCTATCTTCTTCCTTTTCTCCACAGAATATTTTGGATAATACCCTAATTCTCAGTTCACCACTTTCAACTGAGCAGATCTTTGTGAAAACACACGGATTCTCTGCGAATTTCAGGAAACAGTGCTAAGGGAAAAGAAAATGTATGCCAAAGGTATGCCAGATGTACTACCTGGCACTTAGACTGTAACCATCTCTTCCATATTCATGCATTTTAGCCTGGACCTCTCTCACCGACTGACCTGCTCTACATCCGTTAATCCTCCTGTGGGTTTTCAACCTTCTGTTCTTCTGAGCAGCTTGGCCTTTTCTCTCTAAATCAGTAAGCTACAGAAATGTCTCTTTGGTCCTCCCAGTCAGGAACCTCCCCCTCAAAACGAGTGGTAAACACACAGTTGACTCACCAGTGAAGGGTTTAAAAGGCTGCCCAGCTCCGCAGTCATGGAACACTGAGCTCTCAGCCATGGAAATGTCTGGATTTCCAAGGACACAAGCAGATTCTACTGTTTTTTCTGAATTCATCAAAACCATGCCAAATTCATCAAAACAAAGCATTGCGACTTTACTTCTGGGAGCAATGATTTATGCTATTGTTTGGTATCTTCCAAACACAGTTAGACATGTTTTTTCACTCAGAAGTCTGATGCAGTGCTGGATTCTAAGCTAAGTGATACAATTCAGTACAAACCATTTCAGCTAAAGCTACTAAAACACCTGCATCATCTTGAATAATAGCTGATGGCCTAGTGTGCAAATATTACTGGCAATAGACTGATCAACTGAGCAATCTCACCATGAGATGGTTCTAGAGAGTGATGCCATGAATCCATAAACCCTGTCTGCAGAAAGAGCACACAGCAAGTACTAATGTGTCAGAGCCTTTCACTGAGCAGGAGCAAACCCCACAAGTACAGATTACTTCAAGAGAGGGAAAGAAAAAGGGAAGATCCCTTACCTATGATACCCACAGGTGATGAAATCCTTCCAAAAGCACTTTGGAGGCTGCGCATCTACTGGGCAACAGAATTCCTACCAGAGTTACCAGAGCACTTTCCAAGCTCTGTCTGCAAAGACAGTTAAACTGGAAGCATCAAAAGAGTATCAGTAAGATCTAAGTGGTAAAGGTAAGCCTAAGTGTAAGAAAAAAAAACCAGACCACACTCTTAGCACATGTAACACCCACCCATGAGGCTGGTTTTAACTCATCTCTAGTTTAACTTCTTTCCAATCAAACTAGTTTAAGAAGGCAAGAACTCACCTCCTGCTCCGAACAGAGCACAGCTAACTCACTGCCTGCTGCCGAGTTGTGCAGTATATGAGCACGGATCACTTTGATCATGCTTCCTAGGGAAGCAAGGCAGCTCCTGACAGGGCCAGGAGACAGACTGCTGCAGGTCAGGCATGGCACGAGCTACCCACTTCAGCTGCTTATCTGTCAATTAGCATTTACAGTTGGCATGCTGGGATTTCTCATGCTTGCTGACAGCCTTCTAATGATGATGACTGGGGGTTAAGGAGGGGGAGAACTTGCCAAAAAAGTATCTCTGTGCTCTCCAAGACTGAGATGACAGAAGAATATAAATCATCAATGTCAAAGTTTTTGCTAACTGTTTCTTTGGAAAAAAAAAATAAATCAGAGCATCCAAGAGTGACCTAGAAAATGTGAAATGTGGAGAGCTTTCGGAGCATGGCATACTCCCGCACATCAAACCAGGCTTCTGCTTTAATTGAAGCTGGCCAAACATTAAAACCTGCAGCAAAATCTCACTTCAGAGTCTCTTAACAATGAGCTGACAGCTCTCCAAGTATCCTACCCCACAGCTCAGGCTTCAGCAGCTACCACCCAGGCTGCCAAAACTGCACGGAGAAGTGGATGTAGCAAGCAGTACCACTGTGGATTGCTGTGGAGGAAGTGTGCTCTGGCTCTTCCAGTGGGATGGTAATCGCTTGCCACCATCCCGTGGCACAAGAAAGGCCATGGGTACCTGACTCACTGCAACAGCAGTTGTCAGTCTCAGCTTTACAGATGACAACACCTGGAGCAGCCGCAGGTCATTCTTGGCACAGAACCAGGGCTCAGCTCTTGAGACCCCAAATCCACAAAGATTAATAAGCCAAAGTTTTCTCCTTGACTACAACCACAGAGCAGCAACCAAGGGAGTGCACTATAAGTGAACCATAGTCAGATCTCCTTCAGCAGCTGGCTCGTGCACAAAACCAAACACCACTTCAGCTAATTATTTCCTTATATTGTTCATAGCTTGATTAAATGGAAAATATCCATGCCATGAACTAAAAGGTTCTGATATCCTTCTTGCTGAGTAATAACCAAGTCAGAAGACTGACATGGTTCCACATGTTGAAAATTAACTTAAAATATCATTTGCAAACAGATACAAAATCGCATACAAAGATTATGACAAAAGAATGCTTACAGGCAGCACAGCAAAGCAGTCCCATTCAAAAACCAGAATTAACCTCACTTACGTGATGCTAATTCAACCCTCTTATGCATCTTTACTATAATTAGGATGGTTATTCAAAAATCATTACACACCCATCATTTAAA